TAGCTACTTATATTAAACAAATTAAATTAAAATAATTAATAAAACAAAATTAGACGGAAAATAAAATTACCAATTTGCAATATAAAAGCGTAATTTATTTAATAAATAATATGATTAAAACAAATTACATTTCAATAATTTCCTAAACTTAAACTAGTGTTTCTATTATCAAGATGGTTGTTTATTAAAATAATAATTCATTTTTAAAGAGCAGTAGTGTTGTTGACGGGAACAGTACCGTTGACGGGAGCGGTACCGTTAACACCATGGTGACAGCCTTTGGACAACTTGCCAAACTCTGCCCTTAAGTGCTCGCCGGCCTCGCGGAGCCGGGACTCCAGGGCCTGTCGGGTGGCGTTGAAACGACTTTTCAATCCATCAAAAATACCTTGATGTTGCTGCTGCTGTTGGGCACCCAAATTAAATGGCAAGGTAATAGCTCGTGGTGCTCTAACTGGTTCGGTACCGTTAACGGGGGTTTGGGTGCCGTTCACTCCATTATGGCAGCCATTTAATAGTGTTTCAAACTCGTGTCGGAAATGGTTGGCCGCCTCCTGGAAACGGGTCTCAACGGCGTGTCGGCTGGCGTTCAGGTGGGACAGGAGGCCGTCCAGAAAGCCTGACTGGGTTTGGTTTTGCTGGTGTTGGGCACCGATCCCGAAGGGTAGGGTCAGTGCTCGCGGGGCCCGGACAGCGGCAACGGTGCCGTTCACCGGGGTTTGGGTACCGTTGGTGTTGTGATGACAGCCTTTTACCAATGTCTCAAACTGCTGACGAAAGTGATCGCCGGCCTCCCGGAGTCGGCTCTCGATGGCCTGTCGGGTGGCGTTCAGGTGCGACAGAATGTCGGTCTGATTTAGCTGTTGATGGGCACCAAAAGTAAAGGGCAAGTGCAGGGCTCGGGTTGTTCTGGCCGGGGCGGGGACAGTGCCGTTAACAGGGGTTTGGGTGCCGTTGTTACTGTGATGGCAACCATTTACCAACTTTTCAAACTCCGCTCTCCAGTGTTGTCCGGCCTCCCGGAGCCGAGACTCGACGGCCTGTCGGGTGGTATTCAGACGGGTCAGGAGGGTGTCTACAAAGGCGGTCTGGTTTTGGTTTTGTTGGTGATGGGCGCCAAAACTGAAGGGCAGTGTAAGGGCTCGGGTAACTCTGGCGGCCGGTGCCGTCCCGTTAACGGGTGTTTCGGTTCCATTTACTGGGGTTTGAGTGCCGTTCTGGTGATGACAACCGTTGATTAGTCGCTCGATTTCGTGTCGCCAGTGGTCGCCCGCCTCCCGGAGTCGTCCCTCCAGTGCCTGTCGGCTGGCGTTCAGGTGCTGTAGGAAACCGTTTAGAGGATTGCCGGCCACTCTAGTGGTGTCAATGGCGGGACCAATAGGCAGAAGGACTGTAAAATAGAAGGAGGTAAATATATAATTGCATGTTGGTTATAGAAGTTTGTTAAAATTAGATTATTATATTACATGGTATATGATGGGCGGCGATCGTGCCCAAAACACTAATTAAGGTTGCAATTCTCAGCATGGTTGTTTTTTGTTGTTTTACTATATCTGATTAATAATCAGTGATTATCCAGATATCAATTGTTGAGTGAATTGCTATCCGAGTATTAGATCTATTTATACAATTTTTTTGCTATAATTTGTTTTTCAATGTAAAATTATTTTTTAAAGTGCATGACAGGTTAATTAATTTCCTGAAATAACCGCAGCCCAAGACAATTGGTTAACTAAACCGTGGGATAAAGTGAATATCTGTACCAACTTTAGTGATGAGGCGGTGGGTGACCAACTCAAGAGCTGTGCCGCATTAGGTAATGCCAATGGGAACGGCTATATGGAGGAGACAATTGGCGCTTATAACGCAATTAATAGTTGGCATAAATTAGATAATGGTAATAATAATGAACAGAATTTCAAATACCATTTTTATTATAATTTAACATTATTTTGTATAAATTCTTTCGCAGCGCCGGTGGTTGTGATCAACGGTGTGGTAAATACGGCAGCGGTGGACGACCTTAAAAATCAAGTGTGCCTGGCCATACCGGTAAGTGAAATAACTTAATTATTAATAAAATAGTAGTAGTATTTCAGGTAGCACTATATGAAATCAAATACCTAAAACAGAATTCATTGGTGGAATAACAAAATATATTTTAATTTTATCATTGTAGAAAGCCAATAGACCGATCGATTGTGCCAATGTGACTGACCCCGTATCCGTAAAATTATCTACGGTCATTGTACAGATCTACTATTCACCATTAACCAAGAAATTTATTGATTTTATGGCGCTCAACAGTGAGGATAACGTACGTGGTATTTATGACATAATAAAATCACAGGTGACCGAAAATGTTCCGGCTGAAACTAACTATGGTATGGGTTGGACTTGTTAAACAGTTTTCTATTTGGTAATAACCAGGTTGAAAATAGGGTCGTGGTTGAGTTTATACCATGGGGCAGTGCTAATAAGACCCGGTCGTTAGACAATAATAAAACTCAGTACTTGTGTCCAGAGGGCGATAATGACTGCATGACTACCAGACTTCATGTGAGTATATGCTTATGAGAGCTGAGAGGGTGTGAGTGAGAGAGTAAGTGAATGAAAACTATATTTTAACCACAATTAATTTATGAAGAGTGTGGTTTATAGACTCACTATGTTATTATAAATTAATGGATAATGCTAGTTAGTCCTATGAGCATCATCCGAGTTGTGGTTAACAAATAGCATCGCTGAGTGAACCTTGTTTTAAACACTAACTCTAATAGCATAAAAATATATAAATTTAATGCCATATAAAATTAACACAACAAAATAAAATTAACATTTTGTTTTGTATTAACCAAACAGGCGTGTATAGCAAAAAATCACAAAAACCATTTGAAACAGCACGAACAATTCCTTATTATTCAATGCGTTAGTCAAAACACCACGATGACTGACCCCTTGGCCAAAGTGGCCTATTGTGTCAGCAAAACCACTTCTATCGACATCGATAATAAAACTTATATCACTTGTGCCGGCAATGATAGCGCAGATGGCAACGCCTATCTGAACGAAATGATTGGTGCCACCAGTCAATTATACCCACTAATTACCGACGGTAATTTTTGTTAATTATTAAATTGTAACAATCTAATTAATGATTTTTGATTATTTTGTTTAAATTGCAACCTTGATTAGCTACGGAACCGATTGTGCTAATCAATGGCAAGCGTAATGTTAAGGCTGTAACTGATCTCCGGACTGAAGTGTGCAATGCTTTTTCGGTATGGCTACTAAATAGCACTTATTTAATAATAATGCTAATTCTGTATAAATAATTAACCATGTTCGTTTATTTCAAAGATGGAAAATATGCCAGAAGCATGTAAATTAGCGCCCGATGATAAGGGTTGCTCAACTGTAGCGCCCGGACACAAATTCAATGCCAAGCCTAGTGCCGGTGCGACCGCCTATGTTAGCATATTTACCATGATTTCTATTATTACCGTGGCCATTTTAAACGCATTGTAATTGTGTTAAATGTTTATAGTGTTATGTTTTATTTAAATATAGGTTTAATGATAACTTTAATATTTCCATATTATAAAAATGCTTCATTTATAACACATATTTAATTATATGCAATTAATTTAGAATTAAATGTAAAATTGTTGCAGAATTTTATTATATTTTTATTATAACATCATTTTATCTAGCCATAAAAATGTCCATTAAATATTATTATTATCAATTATTTAAAACAACATTTTAGAATATAGCTTGACAAAATTATAATTTGTCATTATTATTAAAAAATAATAATGTTCAAAAAATGCCAAGAGTGCAATCGGGAATTATTGTTATAAATCGAAAGTACACTCTGTAGGAAGTATTGTGGTATGTTTTATTTGGCCAGACGACCTCGGGTGTGGCCGCAGTGACCACTTTTATCGGGGAAAATTTTAATATCAAATCTTGTATTTTATGAATAAGTATATCATATTATATATCAATGGAAAGG